TTATTATAGCATATGTGTATGAGCTAGATAGGGATATGAATTAATTAGCATTTGCTTCCTCCTGCTCGTTTTTAAATGGGAAATAGTCAACTTTTTTTCCAATGTGATGTATTATTTGGCACTTTTATGTTCAAAATAAAGATTTAATTGGCTGATTGAGTGGCCTGTAACATAATGTGGCAGATCAGTCTCACAAATCCTTTCTGCTTCTTGAATCCATTTGGATATCAGCAAAATTATGACATAGGTGGCTGACTTGAATTTTTTATCCAATATGGGTCATTTGATCCTGAATGGAACAGCTAACGGTTAAGAGTCACAGGCAGCCATAACCATACAGCCTTAACAACATATTTTCTAAGGATTGCTCTCTGTCCGCAACTCATACTAACACCTGCTAGCAGAAACATCTTCAGTGCATTAAGTCTAACCATGCAGGGGAACGATTCAGTTCGCCAAGTGAACATTCATGTGAGCATTCACATTCTGAGGAAGTGAATAGGATTATCATATAAAACAGTCCATTAAGCTTAATAGCAATATTAGGTTGCAGCTTCACAGGAATAATTTATGCAGCCAGGATTAAATTAAAATTTGCTTTGAACAATTAGTGATATAACCTGCATTCTCCCTATGCATGCTGAAGCATTATCTAGAGGGTCATTGCACAAAGTGAAATATAGATTCGTATGTTTGTACTCATGTGAAACCGAGCGTGTAGCAGCGTTGAACAAAGAGGATGTGTTTGAACTGTATTCATTTAGATTTCTGAAGGTAAAAAACCCCACAGAAAATTAAAATGATAAATCTACTGTAAGGAGGGTAATAAATTTGACCTTGCAGCTGCGAGAGTCCCACGCCTTGACTGCTGAACTGTAACCCCCACACAGGAAAACCTCCGGGTTGCTGGGATGCACGGCCGCACACATCACCTTAAACTCGTTGTCCACTTTCACAGTTGGCTGCCCTACAAAAGAAAAAAAGACTGATTTTAAAAAGACATGACAGAAATCTTGTGTTTGTGTATGTGTGTGTATGTTTACTATGAATACTTTACAACATCATGCTGCTAATTTGTGAATGCAGAAGTGTCAGGTTTGTCAAGATTGATTATAAACTACATTTCTTTAACTGAATTAATCATTATAGTTATTGTTATATTGTTATTTTTCTACTTTCCTGTTCTTTACTGCGTCCACATTTATAAATGTCAAGATCAGCACTTCAACTAAAAACTGAAAATTGCTGAATTATTGCTTAATTGATTCATTATCATTAAAATGTCACAGACATAAAGATCCACTGATAAACTGAGAAGATGGCTGGACGATTAATCACTAATCATTAATCTGGTATCAAAAACACACATAAATAAAGGCTCAACAATAAATCTGAGTAAATACAGACTATTTACTTTCTGCTTGATTGTCCCAAAACAAGCAAAAAATAAAGAGACTATACGAATTAAGGTAAATGGCAGGAATTTTCTTTCTCAGCTGTCAAAGCCAAACTAAACACAGCCAGCATACATTTTAGCTGCATTACCCCACACATGCAACATTTCCAGATACTTCTCTTTGGTTTATTAATTGAGCACATTTTGGGGATCCAGTTTCAGTTCCATTGACACATGCATTACATTTGTGAGCATTAAACTCTGCGTGTAATGTAGGGCCAGGGGAATGATGGAAGAGTAAAGGAAAGAAAAGATTTCCAGGCAGGGACAAGTTTAATACGAACTCACACAAGAGTGTGGAGAGTGTGTTCCCTAATTCTCCTTAACCAAGAATCTTCCTGTTGCCACTGCTTAACAAAAATGTATTATGGTCAGAACTGCCCAATTATGATAATGCTTTTTTCAGAAAATGTTTTCGATTTCTGTTACTTTATAATGGGATCCTAAAGATTTCAGTTGCTTTCATGATATAAATGTAACACACAGATTTAGTAAAAATAAATGACAACTACAATCAAAGACTGATTAAAGAAACATTCTAAATAAATGAGAATAAATGCAGAAATTGAAGATGATAAGCTTGGTGGTTGTGGAAATCCTATAAGCCTTCCTCATCACTTCACACTGTCAAAAATTACACATGCTATGTATGTACTTTAATTTTAGATATGCTTGCTGCCACATGTAAATACTTGTACAGATGTGTAGAGTTCATATATTTTAAAATTAAAGATGGACTAAGCCAACAAGATGTCCCCCATTGATTAGTGGATTCCTGGTTTGAAGGCTCCAGATCTGGTTTTTGCATTGAAACCTAGTGTCACGAGCAGGAGGGACGATCTGGCTAAGAAACCGAGGACGCTTCATACTCAAACAGGAGCCTTTTTTCAATCACAGGGTAGGCATGCCTAAATTATACCCTGCTCTATAGTTTACTCTGAATTAGAACCTAACTTACAACATGAACATCATGTTGCATTAAGCAAGACTTAAAATTACCAATTGAGACCATAAACTCAAGTTTTTTACTAAGATCATAAATCTAGTGAGCAGTGGGATCATTTTCTCACAAACTTCCATAAAGTCAGATTACTTCTGTTAACTACTCACCATTAGAAAGAATCCACCTTCAAGGCTTTTCTATATTGTTTTCATCTAGACATGGAGACTTAGTCTGTCTTTTATATACAGCCTGTTTATAAAGAAAGTTGTTTACAGTGTATCCTTCCGCTGTGTCTAGACTCTGTCCATGTGACCTGAATATTGTGAATGTAGCATCATTTCTGTCTGCTGAAGAGCAGTGCTAATCCTCAGGATAGCACACTTTTTTGTTGTTGTAAATATCAAATGTAAATCAGTGTGCTGTACCATGCAAGCTGTTTATTTCTTGCAGCACTGTTTGCTCATTTTCAGCCAACCTGCACTCTTGTGTTCAGTACAAAATCTTGCTAGTTTCTACCGATCGAAAATATTGCAAAAGTGCACAACTTTCCTAAGTGATAGTTTTATCTCTCTATTTCCAGACAGCGGCATTGTACACATGAGTTTCTGAGAGGATTTAAGCATCACTCGAGACAAAAAGATAAAACTGACAAAGATGTGATGTGGAGAAAAGAAACCAGAGTATAAAGTACTATTTTGGCTAGAGGCTGCTTTATCTCAGTCAATTAAAAAATGTCATACTTAAACATAAAACAAAAACACCGAAGGGCTAAAATATAATTAAGCCTGACAGGGTGCAACCAAAAATTAGTTTCCTGGGAAAACGATGAAACAAGACTATGAGCCAGCAACTCTGTCAAAGGCTATGCAAAGTGGAGCACCTCAGGGCTCAATGGCTTCTCATTAATTCATCGAACAAACAACAAAGGCCACATCTAAAACAGTCTTAGACAGTTAGCCCACAACAAAAACATACTTCATTATAGACTTGTTCCACAATATTCCCACCAAGACTTTTTCGAAGTGGGGAATGATTCACAGCTAATAAACTGCACCAAAAATGGACCTTCTCTCCTTTTAATGGGGGACTAGTTCACTCACTCACGACTGCACTGGTCTGATCCAAAGTTTTAACAGGCAGTTTCATCAGGCTCATACTTCCTGCTTAATTGGCTTACCAACAGCGATATTCAGAAGATCTGTCATCGAGATTTAAACTCGTGTTTAGCAAGACAATGAGAAAACATTTTCCTCATAATAAATAGGGTCATCATGTTTTAATTAAGCAAGATTAATTAGCTGGCATGCGAGAGGAGATACGTGAGGACAGCAGTGATCTGTCCCTCCCTCACAATAGTTTATTCTGTTGAAAGAACTGTGATTGTGCTGTAGTGCTGACAAACAGTGGATGACTTGGAGCAGAGGACATTAGGGATGACTGGGATAGCAGGGATGAGCCCTTCAGAGCAGAGAGTAGCAGCGAGTCTGCCTCATTATGGGTGCTGTCTTTGCACTTGTGCAGAGGTTAGGAAACACATTATTCAGTCTGACACGCCACATCCGAAAAAATGCTTTGGATGTAGACTTAATAAGCGGTATTTTTGACTGTTTTATTTTTATATTTTTCATTTCAACCATGCCCTCGGACTTGATAGAAAAGGTAGCAAAATCCTTAAATAACTGTGCATGATTTATTAATTTAATCCTAATTTTAAAAAATTAATGTACTTCCTTCAACACTGCATAGTAGCTTTCATTAACCAAGACGGCTTTAAGCTAAAGTGAGCCACTGCTTAGTTAATCATTGTGACGTAGTACTGGAAGTAATGACAAAAACAAAACTTAAACCTAGTGTTTAAATGAAAGTAGGAAAAACTGTTCTCACAAATTTCATGTCATAGCTGACATACTATGCTTACTCTCTGCACCACCTTTTTTCTACCTACACTGCTTTTCAGGTCAAAATAATCCTTATTTTTCTTAATGGGCCTTGAAACAGCTTGAAACAATCTTTCCCTTGATATTTTAACTCTGGATATGTTTCTGTGATCTTGTTTTTAATTAATACTATGTCTTTGCTTTATCCTCTCTTTTTTAGCTGTCAGGTTATGTTGGTGACAAGTTAAATGACTAAACGCTGTAGGTCAAAGCAAATCATCTCGAATAGCAGGAAAGAAGCTCAATAATAGAAAGAAATGAAGTATTGAGCAACTGCAAAATACTGCACACTGAATTGCTGGGAATGCTCCCCTCTCCGTGTTGGCTGCTTTTGAATGCCATCACCACGGAAGCTCATACAAAGCCTCCAAGTCCTTCACTTTTCTTGACTAGTGCATGGGCGTTAATGTAAGTTAGAAATGCTGTGATGTGGGCTTTATCCTTTGTCTTTTGAAGGAAAGCTCTTTTGTTTTTGTTTTATTTTCTTTTGGGGGGGGACTATATAAAGCCTGTGTTGACCTAGTAGGTTGCTACTCTAAAATGAAGCTTTCAAAGTAGGTCAAAATACTGGTGGCATTTAGAGGAAATAATACTGCGGATGTGTGCTTTTGCATTCGTTGCCTCTTGGTGTGCAACGCTTGAGGCTCCTGTGATTATACAGTAATATGGTGGTGGTTAATTCTTGGTACGTGCAAATGAAGTCTAATGAACTGAATATGTTGAAGAAAATATTCCAGTGGAATAAAAATGTGTGAAAGAATGCTGAAAGATCTTTTTTTATACTGTAATATTGTAAAAGCCTCTCTATTTATTTATATATGATGAAAGAAATAAGAGCACTGACTACAAAATCTGACTTTTTGTTAACCCGTGTGCAAGCTACTACTTCGTCCCTTTCTTTCCTTATTTATGAAAATGTGCATTTATTCATTGATCTAACTTTTTCAAATGTACCCAGCGTGACAGTGTGGGTTACATGGATTGCATGGCCGGAGAAGAAATTTCAGCATCTAAGCTGTGTTTTGAAAACCAGAAAGATTTTCTGTTGCATGACCCCCAGACTCCAATCCCCGGTGTGACTCAATAATTTAGTTTTGCACTATTGGCCTTGTAATTCAGTCTGGAACAAAAAAAAAAAAAAGCCTGCCCGTGGCACTAATGTGAAACTCCATCTCACAACCAACCTATTACTGAAGCTTTCACCTGGGTTTATCAAATAAGGTAATGCAAACCTAAACTGAGCTGGAAGTCACTACAAGAGACAACTATTGTGTATTATTGCTTTTCTCTGATCTAATTTTGTTTCTTTTTTCTTGCATGAAATGACACATCAACTTGTGGGAGAATGTAAATAGGTGAACATATTTTACATCACCGTCATCAGACGATCAGCTTTTCTGAAGACGGTCGTTAGAGTGTGTAAAAAAAGCTGGGGCTTCACACTAATGCCATCCATACTTAATTAATTTATTCCACTATTCAGCCTCTCTGACTTTAAAAAGTCCTCTTTATCTTACATTCCTCTCCTCAGTTTCTCTTTTAGCGTTATGCCACTTAACCTACTCGCCTTCCCTATATCGTTTTCACCCCAAGCTATTGCTATTCAGCTGTGACAGCTTCCCTTGGACCGCTGGGAGTGGGTATAAGGTTCTACAAATTAAACTGGACACAGAAACAACTGCAAAGGTTTGCAAGGAAAAATGGGTCCACATACTATTCTGAACACACAGGCATAGGAAATTACTTTTCTTCGCAAACATAATGATTAATGCAGCACTGAGGGTAGATATGCAGTGGTGAAATGATGAGTCAGATGTCCATGAAGACTCTCGCTGTTTATTCAAGGACGAGTATACCTCTGCAAAGAGAGCTCAATTGAACACAAAAGCTCCAACTGCTTTTCCTGTTACAGCTAAGAGGATCTGCATTACCGTGAAGAGCATAAAGATCACATTTATCATGATTAGAGTCTGCCATCACAAACACTCAAGCTTTCTGAGTATCCCATCATCCAGTCTAGTATTGATATATAGGCTGCATGAATGGCGAGGGGGGTGCTGGTAGAATAACTAAGCTAAAACCTCGGTGAGTTGTGAGTGCCATATATTTCAGAAAAGCATTTGATGTGAAGAGAACTCAAACCCCATGCATGTTGGAATCTGTTTAACATATTATGAGGGAAATTATGCATGTAGCTTATTCCATGTGCTCTTTTCACTGCAAGAATATGATTTTCTTTAAAGTGTTCGTGACTTGGTCTGAGCTCCACCACATCTGTAGTGCAGAAACTGGTCTGGAATTCCCAACTCCCACATTAATATTCAGCTAAATTGAATTTTCTTCATCACACGCTGCAATAGAAATGCAGCCTTATTGCGCTCTCATGCAGATCTTCATCCTTATAATTGATATTTTAAGGATGAAGATCAATCAAGCTATTGGCTGCACATGACCAAAAGCATTTGTTTGTTTATGGTTTTGGTTAGAGACGATCCCGTATAACAGGGCTGCCCAATCCCAGTCCTCGAGAGCTACTATCCTGCAGCTTTTAGATGCATCCCTACTCCAACACAGCTGAATCAAATGGTTTGATTACCTCTTCAGCATGCCATCATGTTTGGCAAAGGCCTGATAACAAGCCATTCATTTGATTCAGGTGTGTGGGAACAAGGATGCATCTAAAAGCTGCAGGACGGTAACTCTCGAGGACCAGGATTGGGCACCCCTGCCGTATAAGGTCATGGTAGCTGCTCCTGTGGTGATGTATCCATTATTGATCCACTTCCTGGAGCTGTCTGTGTGTTTAATGGGCTGCCCAAGCTATTATCCGTAGGCTTTATTGACAGTATTGACAGACAAGCTTAGAGGGGAAGTGAAAACGGCAGCAAGTCATCATTTGCCATGTGTTGACCCTAGGGATGCAGATGCCATGGGGGCTTCAAAGAAATGTTCTCTCTCTCTCTGTTCAGATACAAGGAATTTGAGAACATTCATGGTAACTATTCTTATTGCTCAATAAGCAGTCTTACTGTGGCAGACTGTATATATGACTTACTATCATCTTTACTGCCATGCTTGTATTGATAGATAAAAAGATAGACAGATAGACTTCTATTTTAGATTTTCATTTGAGACATAGAGCTGGGCGATATGAGATTTTTTCATATCACGATATGTTTTTTTCATTTCAGGCGATAACGATATCTATCACGATATAAGCCAAATAACTATATTTGTAAGATTTAAATGTGCTGTTGCTCACAAGTAAAATGTGAAATAATCAGCAGTTTGTTTTTATTTAAATATTTATTTCCCATAATAAGTTCAACAGGGTAGATGTACTTAAGGAACATGAGACTTTTTCAGATAAATAAAGGCAAATATTGCAAACTACACAAAAGGCAGCCGCTAAAGCGTCTAAGTTTCAAAATAGAACAAACAAAACAGACTAAATTGTCAATTCCACTTAGAAACAAAATATTAATTCTAAAAATAAATCTTAGTTTGTTTTACAGAAGAACAGACAAAACTGACTAACTTTTGTCAATATCAAATAAACTGAGAACTAAAAGGAAATTCTCAATCTCTCCTTGTTGTATAGCTGAGCTTTTCAAACAGTTTTAACAGTTACTTTAGTCTGACAAAAGCCGAACGACGAATTAGCGCTTCCAGTCAGAGACTGAGGCTACGTCCACACGTACACGGGTATTTTTGAAAACGGAGATTTTCCGTTTTCGTTTTAAAAAATAATCCCGTCCACACATAAAGGCAGAAATGAAGGAAAACGCTGCTATGAACATGCCAAAGCAGCAGGTGGCGCTAGATTCCTAACCGTGCAGAAATGTTGGCCAATCAGAAGTCTAGAAGCCTCGGTGGGAAAAAGTAAACAAAGCTGGGGCATAGAAGCAGAACAGAGTCGTATGTGTGGAGGGACAATAACTGTGTGTATATGTAAGCATTTAAACACTGCAGAGAGTAGAATTAACAGTAACAGTATTGTAGAAATTCGTTTCACCGAAACAATAACGTGGCGCACAGTGTGACGCATGCACCAGTTTATTGTATTTCCAGACTTGCTTTCGGCACAATTTACAGTGCACGCTACTCTGTTTTTTGTCAGACTTGAAATAGCCGAAATACCTTCACACTACGGAACTTCTATGGCTCTTCCATTCGACAATCTCTCCGGCATTGGAACCATCATCTGTTTTCTCTTCGGTCACGCTCGGTTGATTTTTCTAGTCGGCACACTCATTTCCTCCATTACGCGCTGGCTCCATTACGCGCTGGCTGCTTCCCAAACAAACACACGTGCGGCTTGGCACTTGTGCTGTACGTAACAAGTCACGCGACGTGACGCTGCGGCTGTGATTGGTTCGGCTCTGCGCTACTTAATTTGGATTGGCTGACCTTTTTTTTTTTTTTTTAGAGGACAAGAGCGGCGAGGTCTATCGCGATAGCTTAATTTCTCTATCGAGTAAAAGTTATATCGCGATACATATCGTTATCGTTCTATCGCCCAGCTCTATTGAGACATCTGCCTCCCACCTGAATGAAACAGTCTACAGGCATTCAATATACACTCACGTCTACTTTATTAGGTAAACTTTGCTGAACTGCATTAATTCTTCATGGCATAGATTGAGCAAGGTGCTGGAAACAGTCCTCAGGGATTTTGGTTCATCCTGACAAGATAGTGTCAAACTGCTGACATATCCATGATGTGAATCTCCCATTCCACCACATAACAAAGGTGCTCTGTTGGATTGAGATCAGGCGACCACGGAGGCTATTTGAGTACAATGACCTTGCAGTTACGCTCAAGAAAATAGTTTCCGATGATTTGAGCTTTGTGACATGGCACAATATCATTATCAGAAAATGGGTACACTGTGATCACAAGTACTCAGGCAGACTGTGGCGCCTAACTGATGTTCAATTACTACAAAGTGGCTCAAAGTGCAAAAAAATCACAAAGCAGTTTGGCCATTCTCATCTGAACTCTGGCATCAACAAAGCATTTTCAACCTGCGGCTTACTGGTTATTTTCTTTTTGGATCATTCTCTGTAACCTGTAGAGATGGCTGTGTGGGAGAATCTCAGTAGATCAGCCATTTCTAAAATGCTCAGAGCAGCATGATGTTCAATTTAGATTTCAGCATGTCATCTTGCTGTTTACATGCTTAAATGCACTGCAATGTAATTTGCTGATTATGTATTTTGTTAAAGACCATTGAACAGGTATACCAGAGAATGTAGTGGCCAGAGAATGTAGTCCCATTGTAGATTTTTAGGCTGATTTGCAGGAAACTAACTAAAGTAAATGTATTATTCTTGCAAATTATTCACAACTTTGTTAGTAATATGTATCACTTCTACTATACCATAGCACTCAAGTCCGATGGATGCATCGCAACTTAAGGGTTAGTGCCCAAGGCATGCAGATGGCGCAGCCAGGGATCGAACCACCAACCACCAGCCAAATTCTGTGTTCAAGTTCCAAATGTGTAACTTAATGAGCTGACATGAATTGGAGTGCCTAAATCCAAGTGGATTTTGGTTTGGTACACCACAATAGTTATCAGCAGCACTAACCAACATGTAGTTGCATTTCTGAGGGTGTGTAGGTCAGGTTATGTTGTAGAGTTCACAGGGGTTTGTGGTTACGTCTAAGTTATGACGTAGATTTCCCGCTAAAGCATAAATTGGGCATTAAAACAAAATACCTGCTATTTTATTTTGATATTAAAAGGCAAGAAAGCAGCATTTCTTGGCTGTGCTTGGAGACATCTTTGCAGAGACATTTGCTCGAGGAATTCAGATTTCAAAGGTTGTCCCTGAAATGAGTCACGACTATAGAGAGAGAGTCAGAGACAGAGAGAGAAGTAGCTCTGCAATTCATACAATGAGCTCATAACAGATTCTGGAGGCTCAAGGCAATTTAAATTTACTCCACACATAAATTACTACACTGACTTTAAATCAGAGTTTGAGAAACAATAAATGTGCATGAAGTGAAATTGCACAGGCGTTTTGTTGTCCCACAACATCAGCAACGTGGTTGGAGAAAAATATCTAATCCAGCAAAGGTTCATACTTCAAGCCAATTAAGTAAATGTAATATACACACCACAGTCGTTCTGCCTGTGTATGGGAACATCCAAAATTATATCTCGTGTTGAGTTTGGTTCAGGGGAAAAATCACAGTGATATACTTGAAAAAGTAAAGCCAGTGGTTTGTTATTTGACATTTGGTTCTTCAGAACTACAGAAAGAAATGCTGCTGCTGCTCACCCGTCTCCACATCAGTGATCACAGTCGTGTTGTCAAATGAGCCAGTGAGAAAGTGTCGCCCGCAGGGGGTCCAACAGGCGTTGCGCACAGCTCCCGAATGGCAGGTGTAAACCCTGAGGCATCGCCCGCTCTCTGCTGCATCCCACACCTGCCAGACATGGGCACATCAATTCACGCCAAACTCACAAACTTATCCAGACTGCAGTCTTTTTTGTTGTTTTTTCACTGACTGTGCACAAGATTAAGACATTCCAGGAATAAAGACTCAAAGGCCAAGAACTGACTGCATGAATTTCTAAGAGTTCAAAATCCATAATCAGTAGGTTGTGCTTGGTCTTAAGGGGTTGTTTTAAATGATCACATATATACAGATACACAAAAGAACCCTGGATCTTTTACGCGATCTGATGACATAAAGAACAAGGAAATACATCAGAGGTTTTGGCATGCAGTGCTTTCCTTCCACATCAAAGAGATGGAAGCCTAGGTCATTGGATCAAATTGACATTCAAAGAAAAGTTTATACAAATATTCAGTTAACTTCCTGTCAATGTATCATTCTAGAGCGGTTTAGCTCAGTTATGAAATTCAAAACCAAGCTATGTATTATGTGACAATAAAATCTATTAGTTAAGTTTAATAGTAATAATAATGTGGAAGTCAAATACTTGAATGCCATCACTACCACGAAGGGGGAAATGTGCACATATACTGTAAAGCTATAAAAAAACTATTGAATATCAAATAAGTCAAATGCTTTGGAAGTATCACTGCACTCTGGAAAATATTCATACAGAAGACAACTTTATTTGTTTTCATTTTTTGGGCCCCCAAGTGAAGGTGAAAATTTTTATTACTGTTATTGAAAATGATAAAATAAGCCAAAAGTTGTTTTTTTACTTTTCTTTTTTATGTGTGTGTGTGTATATATATAACAAATATTAAATAAGTATGGAACTGTGAGCGCATAACTACAAATGGATACATGGAATACATGTAGCATGGGTTTATGGTATATGTACATCAATGCTCAAGTGTTTCTTTTTTCTTTTTTAACTGACTGTACTTGTTTGACTTTTGTCTGAATTGGACGAAGCTTTAAAGCAGCTTGATGAAAATCAAAAGCAGCAGGTTTGGACAAATTTTACAAACCTAAAATATTCTGTGTGTGCCTGTGCTGTGTCCTTTGGAACTCAAACTCTTTTTCTGTGTGAAGTCTCCGCAAACCTGAGAAAGATTTAATATAGGCCACTTTCACCTCTCTTCCATTGTAATGAAATGAAATGATCAGCTGGAAAAACTAGGAAAAACATCCATAGAAATTGGGTCTGTCTGTAGGATTTTAAGGGAGAAACAGCCTTTCTAATGAATTAATCAAACTAATTACCTCTGAGTGGGCCTATAAATCAATTCCCACTGGGCTGTAATGGCTTTAATGCGTTGGTATTCTCAGAGTTTACTCTGATAAAAAACAGAGCAGGAGAGAAAAGCTCCCAGCTGCCTCCTGTTTGTCATGGTGGTCATGACTACACACCGTGACACCTTGCGGGTTTGAAATACGATATCATGGTGAAAATGTGGCGTGTAAATAAAGGAGGTGGTAATTACCCACACTGCTCAAGTGATGTCTTCAGTCAAAGTGATGGCTTTCAAAAAGTTCACTTGGCAAAATCACTATTATAAAATGTCTTTCATAAAAGGTCCAGTAGGATTTTCTCCTAGACATGCTGAAAGAAAAAAGGTTCTCATTGAAGCCCAGCTTGAAATCCAGTGGGTGGTCGGAACTGGTGCCCACTGAGGTGATGAAGTATTTTTTGGGCTCCTAAGCACTGCCAGGGCCACAGAGGAAATTTTAAGATCTATGGAGCACTGCAGATCCCTTTGTGCTTCTCTCTGTGTTTCATTATTAAATACGACTCTTCTATGCAGCACATGAAACACAGTAAAAAGTAGTGTACCACAGCTCCCACAGGACACAAAGAAGACAGATGGACAGAGAAGAGCGACATCTGAATCCAGCAGACAGAAGTCTGACAAACAGAATGCTAGAGATGCCTCCAGGGTGGGGGGAAAAGTAGCAGAGAGAGAGAGAAACAGAGGCATGTTTTTAATTGAAATAAACTAAATATGGACATGATGCATCTGTTAGGAATTACTCCCATTCACTGTACAACACTATAAGCCTCTTCTCTGAATGATCTTCCACTTAAGGAAACACTGCCATCTGAAGGTAGCATGGAAATCTAAGAGAAAAGCAACTGATAACAATATAAACTGACCAAAAAGCTGAAGAGTATTAAACCAAACACACTTCTACATAACAAGTCTGACAAAGGGCCACAGCTTCAGCTCTGTGAATGACAGCAGCGGTGATATACAGCATAACAAAACAATTCATTGCACACAGTTGCATTAATCCAATACCGAGCGAGACTTGTGCATCACTGAAAACGAGTGCTTGTTTATTTGCATCCCCTTTAATTTCACCGGCCACTTAACAGACATACAGAGCGGATCCCTGCAAATGACTCATTGGGGTAATCTGCTTCCTAAATGACTCTTGGTAATTAAAACTAAATTGGTATTCGTGTTATCAACATAAAACGGCTGCTTTACACCTGCCGTAGCCATGGTGACATCAGCTCCAAACTGGCTGGGATAATAATAATAATAATAGTCTGACAGACAGGACTGAACAACACAAGTCAGGAACCAAAAGCATGTCAGTGACAGAACTTGAGTACAGAGAGGTGAATGTTAGGATTTCATTCATTATGTCCTTCCTCTGAATTAAACCAGACTAGTAAACAATAGCTGTGGTCAAAGTGCTGAAAGCCATAAAAGACTATAAAAGATAAATAATAATGTGCAATAAGAAAATAGAAACCGCGTGAACAACGTGTCTTTTTCAACAGTTTTCCTGTTACTTTCAACACCAGGACACCCCAGGGAGCGTTACTGTTTCTCTGGCAGTTAACACTTCCCAAATAAAAAAAGCAGGTTCTTCTAATCTTAAGTTGTCTGTAGACAAAATACACCATTTTTTGTTTGGCAGTATGTACTGTGCCCTGCTGTGATCTGCTACACCCCCGTCCCCTAATACACTTGCACTACTTTATAGGTTGATTTCATATACTTGTGTTTTGTGCTGTGTTGTGTGTTGTTGGGTGTGTTTTGTGAGCATACCAACAAATTCCTATTAATTGTGTTGTTAAAAGGTTTACAGTAAATTGGAACTTGATGTCACTCTGAGCTAACTTAAAATGAAATCTCAATATTATATCTTAAATACACATTTGATCATGTTGCCACTGATTGTGTAAACAGTGGTTTCACTTGCATTTCGAGTTGAATTTGCCAAAAAAAAAAAGACAACACACAGTAAACAAAGATACAGATTAATCACACTAATCAATTTTGTATAATTGTGATTACTTTTTTTTGTTTTTCTATATATATGTCTTGATTAGATTTTTTTAATGTGATAATCGTAAAGTGGAACTCTGGAAAGGTTACAGCCCTAAACCGAATGATTACCAGATCAATCGATGAACTCCTGACAACTACTTTCTTTACTGATCAATTGAAATCTTAAGTACAGAATATTCAATTAAATATGTAATAAGCGGTGAAATAATCAGTACCATCTTGTAGTTATCTCAAACTACAGATACTTTTACCAAATAAAAAGCATTTCTTTGAAGATTGACTGATTCATAGATTTTTGCAGAACTTTGTGAAATTCAGACGATTTGGTTTTATATGGAGCAGTGGAGCTCTGCACCATCACCACCACATCACACCAACTGCTTTGGAAAAGACCTGAATCTTAATCCATCAATCTGTATATTACAGAAGTGGTTACACAGGATACAGTTAGATAGCCACAGAGTTACTATATTTGTATCAGTTGCATTGAAAAAATATAAAACATCTAAATATAAAATAACCCTATTTTTAAATGGGAGTAATGGAAGCTCCGGTTTTGTTGCTATGCAAAATTGAATTTCCTATTAGAATTTTTTTAAGTACAGATATTGACTTTTTTATTGATCATTCTTCTTTTCACTGAGTTTTTAAAATTATATTAAATGTAATGTAATTTAATTTAATATAATTCAAATATTTTTGGGAAAAAGATTTTTCTTCTCTACATAGAAAAATCAAATTACTATAAAAAATTTTTTATCCTGGAAGTACCTGAATTTGTCAACAAATCTAATATAATGAAATACTTATTTCATTTCATTGTCTGATGCTGAAATTCCACATTTCAAAATGCTGTCACAGTCCTCGACGATAAGTATGAGAACTTCTTCTATTTACTGGTTTCACAGAAAACGCCTGGTTAGACAGCCTGAGAGAAGAAGAGATAATCCATGCATACAAACAAACGGGTCTTCTCCTCCCTTCCTCTGCTAGTCTCCACCATCTGTTCCAAACAACCCTTTCCAGGTGCCAGAAGAGGTGGCTACCATACCGCTGCACTTGTAAGATTATGCAAATATAGTCATTCATATTTAAATCGTTAATTATTCAAAATCCTCACAGGATATTGGGGCAGTATTTGATTTTATGATGGGACAGACATATTTAGTCGATAGCAGGCAGTTAGCTGCATTGCTTGACCTTTACAACAGGGAAATGATGGAGTGTTTTCCTGGTGTGAACCAGAGAAAAGGAGAGGGAGGTAGAATACAAACAGTGAGATAAATCGGGAAGGAGAGACAGGGCCCATGGGCCCTGACATATATTAAACACACAGTGACAGATATGATTCTAAAGAAAGTGGTACATTGTATATTTATAAATTGAGGCAGCAGGACAGACACTGTATCTCTTCCAATTACACTACATGTCAGGTAAGCAAGTATCGTCTTAGCTCTCGCAGCTTCAGCTTGCATGCTGGGTAAGTTCTGCTGTAGAGGTATGGACACAGTACCCTCGTGGCAGATTAAACAACTGTTTTTGGATGAGTGATATATATCCACATGAAAGCTGAAACCTGTCAACATAGCATTTTTCTCCACTGGGCCAACAGACCAGCAGATCAGACTTTTTATGGTGCCCACAAACAAAAGCCAATTATTGATTCACTTATATACTGCTGGCTGAATGTATAAGCATATCGCATAATGTATTAGTAGATTTGTGTCTTCAGATTATAAATTCATATCAGAAAAAAATATATAACCAAAGCCTGAATTAGCACTTGCATGCCGCAGGTTTTGTTGCTTCAAAGAGAGATGGTGGATGGCTGCCACTGCTCCCCTGACAAATTTAAATATCAGTTTATCTGCATAAATTTTAGCTTCTTCTTAATGCAGCTGTGGTTAGGAGCAGGTCACCTTTCTCACATGTAAGCTATCCGCACAGATTGTGATCTTTACTGCCTCTTTAATGTGATCATATTGATGGTAAGAAAAAAACGCTCGTCAGTGAGGGTCCATTTCAGCCAGTTCACAGGTAAATCAATTGGTGGAAACAACATTACTGGTCCAAATGTGTCAGCAGCTAGCCAATCAACTTGACCGACATACTTTTTTAATGGCCCCAGGCTGCAGGGTTATTTGTTATGTTGAACCCTGCATAGTTTCTACGTTTCAATGTTTATGAAGCAGTTAGCTATAACTGGACCTGGAGCATCCCAAGAGTAAATAGCATATTTTATTCTATTTCTACTGAAATTCTATTCTGTTACAGAAAGATAAGTGGGGAAATATAATGATTAATTTAATTGTATGAGACAGTTTAAATAAAAGAAAACAACACATCAGGTCTACATTATTTAAAGCATAGCACTACTGAAGTATTTCCACAGCTTCACTATTGTACATCATTTATAAAACAAATGTAGCTTTCTTTACCTTGAAAGTCTTGTCTATGGAGGCAGACAGCAACAGATGGCTGACATGGGGCAAAGGACACCACTGCACTGTGTTGACTGGGCCCTGGTGGCCTCTCAGGCTCATCAGAAGCCTCCTGGGTATCCCTGTCATGCTGGGCGTTTGAGCAAGATATGGCTTCAGTCTTGCTGACACATCTGAGAGAATCTGACTTTCTCTGGCCTGATTCCCTAGGACTTGCTCTGCTGGGTGCTTTAGCTCCACTCCTTCTGAAGTGGCAAGTCTCTTCCTCTTAGGGATATACGGTCTGACACCAGATGGGACAGTTTGCTGTCTTTTTGCCAAGTTTGCAGCATTGCCTAAACTTTGTGGCATGCATGGAAGATCCTGCGGGGATGCCATCTCCCTCTGACTATCAGGCAAATTGAAAGATGTTTCAGTATTTCTAAAATCTGCTGCACCTCCACATCTTCTTTTCGAGTTAGTAAAGCTCTGTGGCTGGGAGTGAGGATGGAGTGAAGACCTGCTTGTTTCTGCCATATTTTGATGATATTCCCACACTGTCTGGTCAGACACAAATCTTCCAGGGTAAGGTATAACCTTGACAATATTAGTGTCTTGGTTTTCTTCTGTTTGAGCAGAATCTGTTGCTCCTTCTACTCTCTGATCCAGCGAGTCATCCTCTGACTCTGAATCTTCATAGTCCACTAATGAAGACATCTTCACATGAAAATCTGAAAACAGAGAGGCATGAGTTGTTTCATTAGAGGCCCGACGGTGACATCTAGTGGCTACATGTACTCCTGCAACTAAAGGTGGTAAACATGCTTGTCACTCTTTAAAGGTTTAAACCTGCAGCTTTTGGTTTTAAAATAATTTAACCTGGAATTTTAACAACAAATCTTAACATTTGTTTTGCTTTACCGACTATTTCTAAAATAATACCCCAGAGACCAGCTAAAGATACTAGGGGTAGACTATTCATGTAAACACGTTGCTGACCATTTTATTAATAACAAAAACGGACATGAAGCGATGTTTTGGGAGATTCGGAATCATATGCGATGTTTTTTTAAAAGCTAGCTGTTAGCGTTACGTGTTAATTAACGGTGATTACACACTTGGATTGTCCAAAACAGAGACAGCAAAAGGCAGGTTTGTCAACTTCCCACCTTAGGATAGCGTACAGTTACGGTCACGGCCACGCATGTATAATTAGCATGAATGCTAATTGGAGGTATTTGACGTAAGAATTTTGGATTAATAACATCTCTATGACAAGCACTGGTCGTACCTTCCACCAAGTATAGCAAAAGTAGCTAACTATGGTCGTTTGCCTCTATGTTTGAAAACTTAACAGAGACTATAAACACAGAAAGCTACCATTTAATTGTTGTTTGTATTCTTAATTATTGTACCTGTACTCTGCAGAAATAATCACATTTTCCGACACAGAGCTTGAATACAGTCATGCTTTAGGTTCAGCATCCCGCAAAACAATTCGAGTAAATGTAGCATTTCAGCATAAAAGTACTGTTACCGTTTGCCAATTGAAATAACACGCTCACTTAAATTAAAAGCTCTTATTTTGAAAAAGCCGGATCTGAAGCGACTCCCTCTGTCTTCCGACGTATTATATTTCTGTACATTTAGTTAAACTCATGGATTTCGTAGGAAATCGAACTGAAAATTATATATCAAAATTTATATGTGTAATATTCACGTAAGCGAATTCCCAAAGTAGTACTTTTTTCTGGTGGGTTAATTCGCCGCGGAACCAATGAATAAGGTCGTTTGCCTGGGAAGACTTTCACCCAAACACTACATCACACAGGCTGATGCAAGTTGAATGAGTGAGCTGTCAACTGCGTGTGAAGAATACTGACGGTATACCGACTTGTCACTATATTTAATCAGAAATATAATGAGCTGGATATATGATACATGACTATATAAATTATTAAACATGACAGCATGAGCTAAGTGTAGTTTGTGTTTAGTATAGGACGATTAGCTAGCACTACCAGCTCTGCTGTTATTTTCGCATATGGCAGTTAACTCAGGTGCTGTTTAAGTATATACACACATTCTGTAGAAGATGATTGGATTAGGTATAAAACTGATCCTTGTCAGAACATGTAACATTCCTTTATGACATGTATATTTGGATATGAACTATTTTTCACTTCATATTTTGCTGTGAAGAAGATGACAGACTGTCAAGGTGATGGCGAAGGAACCATGAGTCCCATGGAGCTTTTCGAGAAACTGAATGCTCAAGGAGAGAAAGTCAGATCCTTGAAATCAGCTAAGGCAGAGAAAGTGAGTTTTTCGAGATTTACATTTCTATCACTGTGCAAATGCAAATTGTAATTTCAGATTCACAGAAGGGGTGAACAGATGATTTTCCTGAACACTGTTTTCTATCGTGACACACAGTGATCATCAACAACATTAAAGTTACTCGCCACTAGGGCTGCCACGATTAGTCGACTAGTCACGATTACGTTGACTATCAAAATCGTCGACGACTGATTTAATAGTTGACGCGTCGTTTGAAGCTTTGTAAGATCCCAAAAGACGCAGGAATAAGTAGTAGGATTTAAGAGTGTAATACCGGACTGAAACAGAAGATGGCAGCACTGCATGTACAAGGATGCCAGCTGCCGTTAAACCCAGAAGAAGAAGAAGTAGCTCTGTCCCAGAATTCATAGCCCAGCCCAGCTCAGTTTCCAACAATGGCGGCAGCTAGTTAGTTTTGATATTAGTCTTAGTATTCTTTCTGTTTCATAAAATAAACGTTTAACATATTTTCAGAATGTAGCTGTGTGAACCTCAAATATCTGCTCAGTTTATCAAGACACCACATATTTTCAAAAGCGCTCCGACGTTTTCGGAGACGTCTGTTACCCACTAGCTCGATAGCTAGCCGGGGGCAAGGCTCACTGGAGCCCATGAGAGCACCGGACTCCCGGCAAATCGTTTTCAAACCCACTGCCGTCTTTCGCTACTCAGGTTAAACATATATAATTCACTTAGATAACTTACAAATGTTATTGTTTGGCTTTTTTTTAGTATTTTATTTGTTCCTGAGTAAATCGGTTTGGTTGAGATTAAAGTTATAGTTTTTACACAGTCTTTGCAAGCTCCTTTGACCAGCTGAATAAACGTCAAGCAGACAACTGAGCATGAGATGCTCGAGAATATACTCCGGTGTCCTGTTATATTTTAGATAGCAAGGAGTTTATTAAACTTCACCGAAACAATCTGCAAATGTCATTAACATTTAATAAACTATCGTCTTGTCTTTATTTTTAGTTAGCACATACCTTACACACTTAAAGCTGTAAGCTAATGATAGTTATATAAGAGTGGATGCATGCTGGTGCAATAAGCTGTATGTTTTACGTCCAATGGATGCATGATCTGATTAGTCGACTAATTGCAAAAATAATCGGTGACTAGTCGACTATCAAAATAATCATTTGTGGCAGCCCTACTCGCCACACTGGTCATCATTGATCATTGTATTACTATGAAAATTTTTACTGGTATTCATGTGGAATGGATGTTACTTTGACATGTGCCACCGTTACACCACCATGGCAATGGCACTATTTGACCACTCCAATGAGCATTGAGGGTCCATTCAAAAATATTATGATAGACTGCACATTAAATCCTCAGAGGTCTGGTGTCCATGCCTGTTTTGGCAGCAAAGGGAGGACCTCCTCCTGATGGGTGTATTGTAATTACAAGTACTGTAATTCTGACATTGCTCCTCATTTGCTAACAGTGGATATGTACAAATTTGTGCATAAATCATGCATATGAATGAACATTTCACAAACAAATTGGTGACATATCAATATTTTTATACCTGAAGTCGTCCACACTTACAGAAGAAATTAGAAGTCCCACTCACTTCACGAACACACAAATGGAAACCTGGTCTTTAAAATGACTACTGCCACCAATAATAATAATCATACTAAATAATAATAATAATGTCTTGTTATTATTAATATTATTGTTGTTAGTGTTGTTGCCTGTCGACCATTGTTTACAGTTTTCCAAAGCAACATGAGCCACACAATACACAGAATTATTATTGCATTTTTTTTAATTCCATGTAAAGAAAACTATAGTTATGGAAAGCTGTAGGCTTTAACCTTTTAAACATTTCCAAATAATTTTATCTTTCATTAAAAAAACAACTTATCATTGTTGGATGTCATCAATTATATCCTAATTTCTTGGCATCCCATGGATGCTGGAGAATCAGGAGAGTTTGTTTTTATGTGGGTTTTTGTTTTTGTTTTTTAATTGCAATTAATTTCTCATCTAGGGCTGAAAGATCACATGCTCCTTGTCGTCCACCTTTTTTCTTCTTTTTGTTGAAGTCCGTTTTCATATCAGTCCAAACTTTCTTTTTAATAACTTGAGCGTCTGGCTTTCTCCTCGGACTTCGGAAATCGTCTTTTACAGTCTGACTTTGTCCTTCTTTTTTGCTTTAGTAATGCAGACATCTTTCTCTCACTCTCTCCACTTCACCTTCAGGTATACATGCTTCCTCAGATAGAGAAATCAGGTGTTGCTGCATGTAGATTCCAGGCAGTAAACATGAGACAGTTGATTTAGAAGGAATCTTATTTACTGACTTACGCAGAGCAGTAAGAAAAAAATTGGCCAGTGTGTACATGCTATAAATGCAACACTGATTCAACAGAATAAGAAGGGGTCACACACACATATTAATACAAAAAAAACCATTGTTTCTACAACAGTTTGTCACTGTGTCATTTCTATTGGGATATCTATCATCTAATACAATTGTTTTGTTTCCCCAGGCTGAAATCGATGCTGCTGTCCAGCTGCTGCTAAAGTTGAAAGTGGACTATAAACAGATGACGGGCCAAGATTATAAGGCAGGATGTCCACCTTCAGAAAACCTGATTGTGTCAAACAATGGGCCTGCAGCAGATGACTGTGATGGAGAAGACTTAGTTGACCCGTGGAATGTTTCTGCTTCCAGCACCAAAGGAGTAGATTATGATAAACTCATAGGTGGGTTTTTCAATGAGCTTTAATTCTTCACTTCAAGAGCTGTACTTCACTAATACATTAATATGAGGTAATTTAAGCTGAATAACTGGTGAATGTGTGATGTCACTCCCTAGTGAGGTTTGGCAGCAGTAAAATTGACAAGGAGCTGTTGGAAAGAATAGAAAAAGTCTCGGGACAGAGAGCCCATCACTTCCTAAGAAGAGGAATCTTCTTCTCACACAGGTCAGCTTTCCATGGGTTTTGTTGTTTCTAATTTACCAACTTTTGTTGAAAAGATGGTCTTGTAAATGATTATATGGCACGTCATCAGTAATGTTGAATCATGGTTAATGTTTACTTGCTATTCCAAATGAAAACATAAAGATAGGAGTGTATTGAGAACACACATTGATAATTCCTTCCTATTACTGTTTCTGCCAGAGATATGCATCAGATCTTAGATGCGTATGAAAAGCACAAGTCCTTCTACCTTTACACCGGCAGAGGTCCGTCCTCAGAGGCCATGCACGTTGGTCACCTCATCCCTTTCATCTTTACCAAGTGAGTTCTACCTCTTAATTCTGTGATGTCAATGAAATTTAAAGCATTAAGTGGCTCTGTGACATCTCTCAGCCTGATCTCAATATTGTGTTCAATATCTAAAATTATTGATTCCATGCTCAGTGAATTTTATGTTTAGACTTTTAGACTAAGCTCAAACTGAAGGTAGTGTCCTCATTCCAGATGGCTTCAGGATGTGTTTGATATCCCCCTCGTGGTCCAGATGACCGATGACGAGAAATACCTGTGGAAAGATCTCACACTTGAGGAATGCCATCGCTTCACTGTGGAAAATGCCAAGGATATCATCGCCTGTGGCTTTGATGTCAACAAGACCTTCATCTTCTCAGACCTTGACTACATGGGGTAAAATATGCCAAGAGACTATCTTTATATGTTTATCTGGTAGACCTTGGTGTTGACATTACTGTTTCAAAACAACTAAAAAAATAAAGAACTGTGTGTGTATATCCATATTTTTCCAATTCAGATGAATAGAAATGTTTTGATTCTCATTTCAATGTATTATATTCTGCAGTGCATCACCTCAGTTCTACAGAAATGTGGTAAAGGTCCAGAAGCATGTGACATTTAACCAGGTTAAAGGCATCTTTGGCTTCACAGACAGCGACTGCATTGGTAAAATGACTTAAATTATGTCATCTAATCATTTATTTTACTTATAGGTGTGATTGTGTGATAACTTCTTGGTATGTAATGGTATGTTTTTGTTTTGTTTTGGGGTTTTTTAATACGTCCAGGAAAGATCAGTTTTCCAGCCATCCAGGCAGCTCCGTCCTTCAGTAGCTCATTCCCGCAGATATTCGGCGGCAAAAAAGATGTGCCGTGTCTCATCCCCTGTGCCATAGACCAGGTCAAGACGCCATTAAATCAATACGTAGCAACCCGTAATGTA